TGTTCTATGACGAAGTTGAAAGTTCTAATTATGAATATGATCTTCCCGTTTCGGATTCGTACCTCCAACTTCGCGCGTCCCGACGGAATTGATGGTTCCAAAAACGAACTAGATGTTTAAAAGGTGTAGTCGATGCTCTAGGCCAACTTCTGCGGAAGTCAACTTCACGAGAGTGGTTACGAAGAGAACTTGGAGATGGCAGGGATTCGTGGGCCGACCGCTTTCTGCATGCACAGTCTGCGACGGAAGCGTTTGGACGAGTCTAAAGACTCGTCGTGCGTCGACATATACATCGAAGAGGCACTGGCATCGGTCTGCAGGCGAACGAACAGCTGCGGCAGGTGTGAGATGGGCGCTTCCGAATACGGTCCGACTCATCGGTGCTGGGACTTCCCACACCCCGAAGAGACGGAGAGCGAGGGCTGGCCGCAGATGGTGTCAACTTCGAAAAACGTCGCGAATCATTGGCTCAGGAGGGGCCAGCAGCTGCAGACGATGCCTGATCCAGCACGGGCATGGTTGCGCCGTATGCAATTGATTTGATGGCAGAGCTATCTGATAGCAGTAGAAGGTGGGCTGATTCAGCCCAACAGCTCTCTTGTGTTAGCAGAAAGTAGAAGCAGATCTAGATCGTTCAGGAATTCCTCATCTCAGCGGTAGTGTGTTACTGTGCCCCCATCATCCCATGGATGATCCGGATCCCTTGTTGGGTGAGGCAGGTCCCTTGGTGAGTTGGATGATTGTGGATCTGCTGATGGCAGAGATCATGGCTCCACTCTCCATCGGGACCTCGCGGTATCACGGATCATCTCATGGCCCAAGGGCGGGATTGTCGACGTCGACAAGTGGGTGGGACTGCGATGAGCGAGGTGCTTTGCAGCTTCAAAGGATTCTGCGTTGTAGTAGTTCAAACAGAGTATGATGTGCACTACTATACAGGCGACCCCGGGTCAAATCGCGGTCAGTCTACTTTTATTCACGACTACAACCCGAGTCGGCGCTCCTTCCGGTTGCTCATACCTGTGGAGCCATGGATTCTAGTTGCCAGTTTTGCGGTGCACGCATGTTTCATGGGGCCTGTTTCACAAGGATGCTTAATTTAAGGCGCCTTAAATATAGGAGCAACTTAAGGAGTTACTTAAGGTATACTTTAGAAGTACTCAACCCATTTCACAACGTTTAGGAGCAACTTAAGGAGCTCCTTAACTTAAGGCGTACTTAAGTATCTACTTAACCATGGTTACAGGTATAGAATAGAGTTACATATCTAGTTTTGTGGTGTGAATGCTCCAGTGGTTAGGTTGTTCGTTTACCACACGATCGACGCAGGTACGTATCTGAGGTATGCTGTTTCTATGGTCGTTTACTGTTTCGCAACTACTTTCCTCGATCATGGGTAAGGTATCAATGGTAAGTTACCATTGGTAACGAGCTGCAAGGGGATTTCCCACGAATTACAATGTTAGCTAGAATAAGTCACTCAACGGTCCGCTAAGTAGAAAATATACTCATGTGAACTCAACGGTGACGCAAATCACTGAAATATCACTAAGTCGCTGCAACTATCTGCGAACGTATCTCTTGCGAAGAGCGTTCCCGACACCATCCACTGGAGCATCTGGGTCAATCAGAGTTATTCGAGATGACTGTGATTGACCCAGATCCTCATCTCCTGTTCACAAGCAGCAAACATTGCCTCCTCGACGTTTTGCAGTGGCTGATTCTTAAAGGTGACCATATTGTGAAGTTCGGTTCGGCTTTTGCTGCGTGAAGGAAATGAACTCTTGGCTCGATTTTTTTGCCTCTCTGGACAAGTGGGAGAGCACCGTGCTGCCATTCGTAAGGTCTGCGGTACGACCCCTGCGAGATGCAGTATCTAGGCATCGTACTTCGAAGGGTCCCTGGTTCAACTCCTGTGGGCTGCAATATTCAAACACGGTACTTAAGTATCTGTTTAGGTAGGGTCGGCTCTACCTTAATAAAATTTAAGGAATACTTAAGTTGCTCCTTAAGTACGCATGTTGTGAAATGCTCCTCGTGAATACTTAAGTATATGCACAGAAACTTAAGGCGCCTTAAGTATTTCTAAACTTAAGGCGCCTTAACGTGCTTACTTAAGTAGTGAAATAGGATGTCCTAATTACTTAAGGTATACTTAAGGCGTTACTTAAGTTTAAGGCACAATTTGCTCCTATGAAACAGGCCCATGGTGAACCAACCGCCAACTCTACATCTGTAAACACTATATTCGGTATGAGATGCTGTGGGAAGGGACGCATAGAGGTAAACGACATATCCATTTGAACTATCAACTTCTGCGCATGTTCTCGAAATGGTCACGTGAATAACTTCACTGTAGCCAATCGCTAGCGGGACAGACATTCATGCCTTTCTGGGGCGTCGTTAAGAGATCATAACTCGTTGGAACATATCGATAATAGAAGCGATACAGTCAGGGATCTCTCTACATCAGAATGGGTCATTCTAGCCTGGGCCTTTCCCACCCAGGCTTGAAAAGACGCTCACTGCTCTCATCCACTGGTGAGCAGTTCCGGAATCTGACCAGTTTTCGCCAGAAAAACTCTAACTGTCCCTTCCTGTAACCGCTTGGTTCCCTGCTGCCTATGTTTACTTTCCTGGCTTCCCACATGCGCATGTCTAGCGATAGTGTCAGAGTTGGCCTGTTATGAAATTGCGCGACACAATCTGTTGGTTCTTCTAGCAGCGTTGTTGGGCGGATCTGTCTGTGATAACTTGGGAGTTTGTCGTACTATGTTGATCGGCAAATTTCGATATATCGGTAGCCTGGTGACTGTGACTCATGAATGTAACTTCAGTTTCATTTTCGCCAATCCATGGTTTTGGGAGTTGATCATCTCGTCGCTGACATCCTCGCCGTTCAAGAAGCGTTCAGCGATGATATTCCGCTAGAGTTGCTCGATTCGGTCATGGGCTACATTGGTCCCCGAAAGCCGCAGAAACTGTGTCGTGAGAGTAGAGTCAGATGCCAACAGTGCTGCGATGGCAGTTGGTGGCACCGCCAAGTGGAGGCCCACAAGGGCCATGCTTTTGACCCGGTACGTCAACTCCAGTACGAAATCATGGAAGGCTCTGTCGTGAGTAAGCAGGGCTCCTGCTGTCAACCAGTCAAGGTCGGCGACTCAACTGGTCATTGGGGCATTCTTGCTTGCCATAAGGATCGGCTTTACGTTGGTATCGATTATGATGGTGCCGACAAGTCCATCAAAGAAGTCGACGTGCGGAGTGGGAGGAGTCGGGCCGCTGTGAAGCCAGAGTTCAAGCCTACCGTTTTCGATGTTGCTGACCGCCAGGAGCAAGGTTTACGGTTCAGCTACCTTGATCCTTGCCAGCGGAATTGTGTCTTCATCGTTGATGAAGGCTGTGAGAAGGAAAGGCGTATAAGCCTTCCTAGTGTCAGCGGCTCTGTGCGTTTCATCACTCCTAATGTCATTTGTGCAAGTGTCTCTCGTCATTACGAGCTCAGACTTGCCCTTGTGGAAATCGGTGATGATGACGAAACGCCTAAGTACCTGGACGACTTTGATCTGGGTGTTGCTGGTATGTATATCAGAGGGATGGAGATAAGCCCTTGTGGTCATATTCTCCAAGTCAAAACTCGAGAGAAAACGATCGAGATTGGTGTACACTATGCTTGATCGTTTTTCGAGTTACTTGGGCTCTGTTAGTAGAAGTGCGCAAATTATATATAGTATCTTGTCTGTCTCCTTTTTTTGCAAATTCATGATCATGTTTGATCGGATTCGCCTTTGTAAGCCAATTTTCATGTACACTGCTACAAGAATCGAGTTGGCGTTGTAACTATTCTACTCTGTGTTTTCTTTTTGTGCATTATGGATGATTTCCTGGAACTTCTACACACTGTTGTGTCGATGTCGTGATACGACGAGTTTTCTATCTCTGCGTTGGTCAGGAAGTATTGTGTTCTTCACGATGACCAAGGTCCGCAAGGCTCGGATAGCAACCTAAAAGACGGCAACCTTTGAGGGCTAAATGGCTCACCACGACTGCTGGCCAGTTAGTTTTCTTTTAAACTGTAGAGAACACTTCCCATTTTCAACTAGTGGTAGCAAATACACAAGAATAAGATACTGCACGTAGAGCCCAGTACTTGAAAATGGCTATAGTTTTTGACAGAGCCTATCACAGTACGTAGTATGTCATGCTTGAGTATTTACTATCGACAATTGGGGAGTGGCGAGGACGTGTGCTAGCAGCTTGGTCCAGGGGGCGATGGAGTGGAAAGATGGTATGGAGTCGTAATCACTCAATATCTTGCCGCTTATCAGTGATGAAAAAAGTGTGGCGGCATTGATGGTTGTTGTCACGGTGGTCTCAGTCAGCGATCTGTCTATCATTCATGGCCCCTACGCCGATCCGTACTGCCTCGGACTACACGAGCACTCCCGTGTTCAAGAGGAACGCCCTTTACGTTGGCGAGGATACCATCGATACCAGGTGGATTCGAGCATTCATCTCGTTCCTCGCATCTCCGTATTGGCCAGGTATGTGGTCGTGAGTGGTGGCTCTGTCTCTGGCTTGGGCAAAGGGACGGCGATCAGCAGTCTTGGAGTTGTACTCAAGAGCTACGGGTGAGAACACTCCTGAGTCCTCCATTGGAGACCTTGCCCCGAGCAGTTACCGTGTGACCGCTATCAAGATCGATCCTTATCTGAACGTTGATGCCGGGACCATGAGCCCCTACGAGCATGGTGAAGTGTGAGTCACAGTGATCGCGTTGATTCACAAGAGCTGTAACGCAAGGTACGTCCTTGACGATGGTGGAGAGGCCGATCTAGATCTTGGCAATTATGAACGCTTCCTTGACATCACTCTTTCGTCCGCACACAATATCACTTCTGGAAAAGTCTACGAGAAAGTCATCAAGTGAGTGAATCGTTCATGACGATAACTGTTCGAATGGTGATTCTCTAGACGCGAGAGGACGGGAGACTACCTTGGAAAAACTGTTCAAATGGTTCCCCATGTTACTGATGCCATCCAAGACTGGATCCTCCAGGTCGCGGCTCAGCCCACTACCAAGTACATTTCCAAGGGGTTCTTGCAGGATGTATTGCTTTGTGTAGGACCCCTGGTGCTCCTCATATCTGCCTCATCGAGTTGGGTGGTACTGTTGGAGATATCGAGAGTGCGGTATATTTAGAAGCTCTTCAGCAGTTCCAGCATCGTAAGTCTACTAGTATATGATCATTGTTGGAATACATGTTTTGGTTTCCAAAGCTATGTATAGCGGAAATCCACACACGTCTTGTGATAGAAATGTACGAAAACCAACAAAAAGTTACCAAAATTCCTTCGAAATTCCCTCATTGTCACCAACATGTGTAGACAACTTATGCTAAATTTTCATGCTGTCTGTGGAATTGGTGAAGACTGAATAGTGTCCTATTGTAGGCGCTGGCATCGAGAATGTGTGCATGATTCATGTTGGACTCGTACCCGTGATGGGTGTCGTTGGCGAACAGAAGACTAAGTATTGGAGCCGTATTCTCACCCGTGATGCCAATGTTATCATCCTAGGCCCTGCCAGCACTCTGTCAAACTTCTCCGGGAGGCCGGAATCAAACCCGACTTCCTTTTCTGTCGCTCAGAGCAGCCCCTCCATGATGAGACTCGGTAAGCGATCGATCGTTTGCATTTCTTTTGACTGAACTCTTGTTCAGGGCTAAGCTTGCACTTTTTTGCCAGACTCCTGAGGACCATGTGATCAGTCTTCATGACGTCGCCAATGTCTATAAGGTGAGCTTCCTTTAAAGCGTTTCTATTAGTTTGGCAAACCTTGGCGGTGCACATAGTCCGCTATTTTCACTACTAGGTCCCGTTGATGCTGGACGAGCAGAATGTGGGCAAGCTGGTGTTGGAGCGCCTTCATCTTGACGTTCATGGTCCAGCCAAAGCCACTAATCACAGCTTGCTCCCGTCCCCGGCTATCAACACAACCACTGTAGAGTCATGTGCTCCGGCCAACTTGACTGATTGGAGAGCACTGGCTGAGAAGGCAGAGAAGATCAGTGAAGATGTAAGTCGTGTCGCATCGCGTTTGCTGGTGCTTCTACAATATCTCTATCAGGTGGTGATAGGGGTCGTTGGGAAGTACACGGGTCTCCAGGATTCGTATCTCTCCGTTATCAAGTCGCTTAAGCATGCCTCAATCGATGCAGGCTCCCGTCTGGTACGTGTCAGTGATGTCCTTGATAGTTGCTGAGCTGTATATTATTAAGGTTATTGAGTGGATAGAAGCCTCCGACTTGGAGCCTCACCAACGTACGCACGCCCCTGAGCGTTATGACTCTGCATGGAAGCGCCTGAAGGCATGTGATGGTATCCTTTGCCCTGGTGGTTTTGGTGACCGCGGTATTGAAGGCAAAGCCCTTTGCGCGAGGTGAGGTATAGTGGCTGTCCCATGTGTCGAGGTCGACTTGGCAGATACTGCCGTGAGACCAACACGCCTTACTTTGGTATTTGTTTGGGCTTGCAAACTGCTGTAATATCTTACTGTCGTGATGTACTTGGTTTTGAGGATGCTAACTCGGCCGAGTTCGACCCTTCGGCCGAAACTCAATGTTGCGTGTTCATGCCTGAAGTCTCGACCGCAGTCATGGGAGGTGGGACTCGCCTTGCGCGATGGGTTGGGCTCAAGTCTTCGGCGTTCGAGGTACTATGAGGCTCGGGTCCCGTGTGACCATTATAAAGGACCCTGATAGTCTGGCTTACAAGCTTTATGGTGGCCAGCCTGTCGTCTATGAGAGACACCGTCATCGCTATGAGGTTCTTGGTGGGGAGTCTTGTGCAGACGCTGGGAGTGAGTACTCAGGTTAATCCCCAACTTGTCCCTCAACTCGAGGCTGCTGGTATGCGTTTCGTCGGGATAGACGAGCGCGGTCAAAGGATGGAGATTGCAGAGATACCCTCTCTCGATTTCTTCCTTTGCACGCAGTTCCATCCCGAGTTCAAGTCCAGGCCGATGCGCCCTAGGTGAAACTTGGGCTTTTCTAATCAAGTAACTATTCCTGCATCTCAGTCCCCCCTTCCTTGGGTTCGTTCTCGCCGCAGCTGGGAAGCTGAGCTCGCGGTTGGAGGCCGACGGTGGCTTCTTGAAACCTGGAGCTGGGTGGCTAGCTCATCACTGAGTATTATGATTCTAAACTATCGAGACCTTCGTGTTTCTACGTTAGCCTATATACCCCCATTATGTAAATGTTTCCGTGTTGGGAAGTTTCCCGAGGGTGGTGGTTTCCTTCAATTCAGAAATACATTCAACTGGAAGGATAATCTTAGTGTTGTGTGATCCGAATGGGCAACTACATAGTTCGTGACTGAAATGGAACTCTTACCCTACCCTCGCCCCGAACTTGGTAGCGAATGTAGAGGTTTCATCCACTGACTGACAACAAACTGGGATCTTCGCACCAGCTCTCTACCATGCTGAGAGGAGTGTGTTCCTTCCAAATAGGAGTGCAGAATTCTTCATGAGTTACAAGAAGCAGCTTGGCGCAGTGGATAGCGTGTTGGGCTCATAACCCAAAGGTCCCTTGATCGAAACAAGGAGCTGCTATTTTTAAATTGGAACCATTTATCGAACAAATCGGTCCAAATCCTCTCCTTACCTGCGGCTAAACGTCAATCACATATATAAGCCCCCATTCAGTATTCTCGATCATACACATATATTTACGTAGTTTCATACAGTATTGCAGTTGTTGCTAATTCCCATGGAAATCACACGTGCTAGACCTTACTGATGAGTGAATAAGAAATCATACTCGTGACGTGCCACAATTAGGGTGAAAATCCTTCAAAAGGCTTTTACAAACACGAGTAATCATACGCAACTTGAAAGCTAATACTTGCAGGTTTGAACGACAATTACTTGAGAGATACCTCATACCTTCACGAAGAGAACCTCTCAATACAAGTCAAGCATGATTCATTCTTAATCACCCACGAAATTTGGATAACACAACATTGAATGGCAAATCCGTTGGAAACTGGCTGAGCACGACTGGCAATTGGAATCTGCACGGAGTAGACTCGGTGCCTGTCGTCTTCTTTCGTCAAGGGTGTGAGGGGTTGACTGATTACATTCCAACGAAACAACCGCAGGTCTAGATCTACTCTTCCATAGCACGAGTACGAGCAACGCGGATCTTCTCGTAGACACGCTGCTTCCTCTGCTTGAGGTTGAGCTTCTTGGAGCGAGTGTAGTTATTGCCGCTGGGAGTGACAATAGTGTTGCCCTTGCGAACGACACCGGGGTGAGCCGGCTTCTTGGCAGCAGGCTCGGGGTTAGCGCGGATGGCAGCATGGCACTTAGTGTAGGCCTCTTCCAAATTATCAGCGTTAAGACCAGCCTTGATGTAGGCGGCGAAGTGCTTCTCGTACTCCTCGGGCTCATCCTCCAGCATCTGGTTCATGTACTCGGCGATATGGTTACCGAAGATACGGTCACGATGGACCTCAGCGTCGTACTCGCCCTCGCCCTTGCCTTCATCAGGGGCCTCGTAGCCAGGGAAACGCTTGGGGTTATGAGGGATATCGAGTCCACCATCGGCGGCACCCTTCATAGCACCGAAGACACGAGCACCGACGGTAGTACGGACGAGACCAACATCGAGGACGCACTTGAAGGGCCTCTTCTCACCCTCGTACTCTTCATCAGCGACATAGTACTCCTCACCATCGATCTCCTTCTGACCCTCGAAGGTAGAGTCGAGACCGAGCTTCTTAAGGGTACGACGAGCAACGAGGAGACCAGTGGCGTAGGCGGCAGAGTAGTTCTTAAGACCAACGGGGATACCGTAGTTCTTGAGCTCAGTGGACTCAGCGGCGGCAAGAACGCGATCACCAGTGATAGTGGCGTAGATGACTTGGCAGATGACCTTAGTGTTGGTGATACGGACGACAAGACGGTACTTGGGAGTGTTGTACTTGTTCTTGTCCTGCTTCACCATACGGCGACGCTGGAAGTAATCAGTCTTACCCTCACGTCTTCGGCGATACTTGGTTTGATAACGCTTATGGTACGCCTTATTCTTATAGACCTTGACAAAAGCCTGAGACAACAGAACAGCACACGACAGAATGAGTTGGGTCATCACACAACATCACACCATTCAAGCGAGGACAATTATGAGAACGACGAGATGGCGCAACCAACGAGAAACGAGGACGATGGCGAACACCACGACATAGTCTAGCCCACTTGAACAATCTAGTCAGGAGTCGACAATCGCAGTGAATTTCATAACAGAATTATACACTCGAGGGTCACACATGACGTATGAGAAGCGAAGATTTCGGAGTGAATCGCAATCAGATATTATCCGGGCTATCCCTCCTTATTACCATGATTGATGGACAGCGAGGTTCACGAGTCTGATTTCGGGGATGCACGGCCGGCACCGATTTCCAAATCGATCATGTGATCGATAGCTGATATTTTTGCGCCAGAGCTGGCCACCTCTATGCCTCGGCAGGATTGCTACTGAGATCCGTCACGTCGCATGTCTGCGGTTTCCGAAAAGATTGTAAAGGCCCCCGGCCGTGCCCTCACTGAGTTGGAGCAGAATGTCGCCAGAGCTATAACCGAGATCGAGGCCAGCAGCCCCGAGATGAAGGTTCTTCTTAAGTAGTATTCGGACAGATGGTCTTGTACTTTCGCGGGTTTTCATTCTCTGATGCGGTCGTCTGATCGTTCTACTATACACGTGGATTGTCGTGAACCAAATGTTCATTGTTAGGAACATCGTCTTCGGTTCCGCTAAAGAGATTGAGGTCAAGGCTGACAGGAAGGCCATCGTCGTCTTCTTCCCCGCCAGGGTAGTGTGGGAGACCGCTTCCCGTCTTTTCTTGGCTTCGTATGCTCGGTCTGGTTCAATTGGATGCTTTCAGGTGTGGAAGGCCGTCCAAAAGGTCCAGGGCCGTTTGATCCACGAGCTCGAGAAGAAGTTCCCCAAGCAACAGGTCATGTTCGTTGCCCAGAGGACCATCCTCGATAAGGACTTCCGTCGCCGCGGCCTCAAGGTCCGCCCACGCAGCCGTACTCTCACCTCTGTCCACGAGGCCATGCTCGATGACATTGTCGGACCCGCTGAGATCACTGGCAAGAGGACTCACGTCTCCGTTGACGGCCGCAAGACCCTCAAAGTGTAATAATCCTATCCGTCGTTATGTTCGTATTGTGTGTATTTCATGTCTTTTCTTTCAGTATGCTTGAGCAGACTGATGCCCACCAGGAGGACAGGTTCGCCGCCTACTCCGCTGTCTACATGAAGCTCACCAACAAGCCCGCTCTCTTCATGTTCGAGGCTTAGAGTGTAAATGGCGTCGTTACGGTTACGTACCACTAGCAATCCGAGCCAAGAACATTATAACCTGTCTTGAGTTGGTCAGTGGTCATTGTTGGTTAGGAGGCAGATAGCCCGTACTGGCACGGCATGTTTAGTTGGTGAACAATTCCCTGAATGTTGCATGCATGATCTTTCTGGTAGTTTCGACTGATGTTTTCTGTCCTCTGATGTTCTGACTACAATGCTGCAATACCAGGATCACTTGGACCTTCATTGAAGACTCACCATCGTGTAGATCACTTCGTTTTGCTGAATTATATTCCTTCCTATTTGATTTGCAAGTGAGAGTATGTTACACTTTCGTTACTTGTCTCGCCCTTAGCAGAACGAAAACTCAACATAAACCTGTATAAAATGTCATACTGCATTTTTGGTTATTGCATAGTGCAAAAAGTCAACTATAATCAGTGAAAAACATGATACAGTATGCTCAGAGACTGCGATCAAGTACTGCACTAGATGGATCAACTTTACCGCTCTTGAGTAAGTCTAGGTGTTTACGTAGCTGATCAACCGAGGCTAGATTTAAACCCAGCGGCGGATCGAGTCGCCGTGCCTGACACGAAATGAGTATTCGAACATAGTGGAACCTGGTAGCATAGCTCACTGCATAATATTCCCTAATTCGTCCGATTAGTTCTTGCTTCTTAGCAGCTTCAGTCAACTGTGTAGCCTTTTCGGAGCTGCCCAGACCCCGACCTTGGTTCGCCTGAATACGATTGCGAGTTTCCTGACGACCGGTAAGAAGACTAATCACTTTCATTCGACGTTCTGCTGCTTCTGCTGCTGCCTGCCGTTTCTCGTCAGCGGACATTCCAAGTGTATCATATCCATCGCCACTTGGCTTACCTGCAAACATTCATTCGTTCGCGGTTGAAGAATCCTTCTTTACCGGAGCCCCAACTCGTCCGTCCAGAAGTTCTCGTCCCTTGTTCTTGGAGCCGGGAATATTCCTGTGTTTGTAGTCGTCTAGCATAATCGTAATCCTGCAGAATGACGTTCAGCCTCAGGAGGGGAATTTCCCTTACTGATTGACGCTTCCTCGGCTGCGAGATATCAACTGAATCCGTAGAGCAGCATGCTCCCATTATATAGAATACAAAGCCGTAGAAAACTTCACCATGTTACGGTACGACCAACACAACTAATCATCAATTCAATCGACCACAACTAATGCAGAGGCGATAAACAAAAAGTAATCTTCGTGAAGCATGTGCCTTGTCACATCTTGGAGAGGTCACGTCCATACAAGTACGCTTTTATCCAGTCCCAGATGACCAAGTGTCGACACCTAAACATCGGCGATAAGAAGACCAAGTTAAGGTCAGCCTGATTACCTCCAAGAGACCATCTTGCTAGCATACACGCCCCTCCACAATGCAAACGTGGATACACCAGTGATGTTTCCTGACACCGAGGCATGTCAGTGGAATTCCCTGTAAGTGTCTTGCCAGCTAACGGGCTCTGCACGACAGCCCGCGAACGGCCGACGTAGCTCATCATCCCTTTGTCGTTCCTTTCAAATGGGGTAGTGGTCCTTCCGCTCAAATACTCGGCCAGCCATTCACCTGAGATCTATCATAACAACATCGGAAGCTCAAGAAGATTGACCTTGTTGTGAAGCAACCTGCGCCGTTGCTGGCATTGCCTTATAACTCGACTGCATGTTCGCGAGGACCTGTACAACGTTCCAGACTCGGCAAAGACTACTGACGCGGATTACTTTCTCCCACAAGTCACGAGTGAGGAACTCGAGAGGTTTTCCACCATTATATTTATCAGCATGATCCTTCCACCGCTGCTTAGCACCAACTCCTTGCAGTAGCGGGAACCTTGGCCAAAGAAGCGTTGAAAACCAGTGATCGATTCGGCCATCATCACCTCTCACGAATCTTCCTATAGATAACCTCATATTCCTGGAAAGATATCTCCCCGTCCTTGTTGATATCAGCTTCATCGAAGAGGGATTCAGCCAGCGGTAGGAGCTCGGGCTCAGCCACGCCAGCCTACACAAGACGTCCCATAGGCACCACCGGCGATCAAGTGATGTTACGCAATCGCCTATTGCGAAGAGATCGCCCTTGCTGCCCAGAACCTCAAGATAAGGCGTGGTCTTCAGCAGCCGACCGTTCTCTGGCTGATACCCTTTCAGTTGAGATATCTACCACCACTGGAGTCTTTCATGTCCCATTCGGCAATATGACTACCAGATCCTTCGTGAAAGGACGTGGGGCTATCCCTGCTGCCCATACACATACACCGAATCTGAACTTAGCCGTTTTTAATCGGTTAGCACTCATCAGACTTACGGGATCCGACGCTCTTCCTTCGTGGCCATATCCTGCACAACGACGGCTGTCGCCTCGACAGCTTTCACCCTGAAGCGAGATGATGTCAACCCTCTTACTAACATTTACCCTCTAACTAGCCAACCGAGGAGAGCAACAAGCTGTTAGTACCTCGAGTTCTTCACCACATCGATGTCGATACGTTTAAAATGGTCGGTAGCATAACGCGATATGGCCGCATCGAAAGTGTTGAGGATGTTCTCCGCTGATTGTATCACCGATACTTTCGCTAAACTACAGAGGCAACGGGTCTGTCCACGACGACGAACAGTAGTTAACAGCTTGTTCCGTACTGAGCAACCTCCCAATACGCGTGACTGATCTCTTCCCTGATAAAGTCGCTCAGTTCCGCTGCAAACTCGACCCCTGTAGGTCCGCCACCGACCTGTTGAGAGCAAAGCACCTCAATAGAAGCGCGATGCACTCTGACTTACCACTACGAAGTGGAGAAGCTCTCTCTTGCGCTCATCCGACTGCGCCGTACAAGCGGTTTCAAAGGAGTCCAGGACGTTCTTCCGGATCAATCGTGCATGGTCCATCTCCTTGAGGAAGTGTGTATACTCCAAAACCCCCGGAACTCCCATCGTGTTTGGCTGAGCTCCGACAGCAACCACCAGTTTGTCATATGGGACCTATGCGGAACCATAAAAGGCATTCGCCCCATCGTCTCTACTTCCAACGGACCCTCAGTGGCTTTGATGGAAGTCATATCCTCACAATAGCATATCTACAGAACGCACTGCTTGGCAAGGGGGGGGGAGGGGTGGCGAGAGCTTACTTTCTGGTCAAGATCGAGGTGGTTGGCAACCACTTCCAAATACCGCGTGTTTGCCAAGCCCGTTTTCTTGTTCTTCTTCATTATAGTTTTCCGAACGGGCTCTATGATACTTCTTGGTTCGTTCGTACCTAGTGATCCCCAGCCACTACAATGACACTCCCGTCCAATCCCACCGACAGTCACGGATGGCAGTAGAGGCGTGAAGAGGAAGTAGTTCCTCGGGGATACGACTGAGCAACAAACCCATCAAGAAGCGCGCCCCTCAAGACTTACGTGTAACACTATCCCACTTGGACGTATCGAGCTTCTTGAGAAGAGAGTAGCCTCCCCATCCGCTACCGAGGATGACCAGATTGCCCCCGGGCTTTAGTGGTGTCGACGACATCCACCTGTGCGAAAATTGCCTATAAGCGATCAAGCCCACGGCCCGCGAAGACCATTTCAGAAGCATTGAAAAAAGATAAGAAGAGCTGCACGGGCGAGCTGATGCTTGGAACCTTGCGTCAGTGGTTTCCCAGCGTCGCCCATTTATGTTCAGTAAGGCAGTAACTCCATACCTAGCGCAACCTACGTTACTGCTTTCTAATGAAAATACATTTCGCAACCGCATTTTTGACACTTCTGCGTATCCGTTGTTGTCCTCTAGGCGAAGAGTCTGCCGCAGACAGTGTAAGAGCCTATAAGACTGTGACCCATACAACGCAACACCGCCATGCCAGGTCACAAAAAGATCGCACTTCGGACCTTAGGTACGTAGCCAAGATTGATAAAGTCGGAAATAGCACATAGATATCGAGACATTTACATCAGTAAATTAAATTAAGAATAGCCTCACACATACTTGGGGGTAGCGAGCATACGTTCGACTTCTTCCCACACTTCCCCGAAATCATGGAGAGCATGCACCAAGCAGTCCAACGCGTAGTGCGCCACATCACTGACCACCTGCGAGTTGGACTGCAGACATAGAATGGAGCACATGACTGAATCGCTGATGTCGGCCAGTTTGAACTTCCGCGTTTTCACGGCTGCCACCAGGATCTCACATCTCCGTCGAATGACGGTACCCACGAGCAGTAAGTCTCTTTGGGCAGCTTCGGGTAATCCACACCCTTTGCTGGCCAGGCACGTAGTGACAGCAGATATGACAACCAAGGAACGCCGAGTCAGTCGATCCACCAGGTGCTGAGCAGCGACCAAATGGCCGAGCTGGGAATGCCTTGCAGGTGATACATATCGCAGGGCCTGGCATTCCGCTCTGGCATCGGCGATCTGCGCGTGCCTATTAGAATAGCTCCTGTCGAGAAGAATAGCGGCATTCAGCACATCCTTGCTCAGAGCCTCACGGTTCCATGGAGTCTCATAGACCACCGATTCGCACGCATTGACAACTGAATTAGATACAAGCTCGAGCGAACATACAGTTGCTCTACGCAAACGCTTGTAAGCAAAAACCGGAGAAATCAATGAGGTCAGGACAATCGATAGCACAACGCCGGCAACAGTCATGTCCATGCGGTGAATCGCGCGCGACACTTTGCTGCCAACGGGCAAGTCGGCGTCGATTCCGGGACCTAGGCCTACAATAATCCAAGTAAAACCGAAAACTAATCCCGAGTACTGTAGAGTATCATGGAAGAACATCAACTTGGCGATGACAGAGAATACAAAAAGCTCACATAAAAATATACATTCGTTATTGGGATGCATACTAACACATACTACTGCCAAAATAGATGCTACCACTGTACCGACAATTCGTCTCAATCCTTTCCGAATAGACGCGCCTGGTGTGGGTAGGAAACAGAATAGACAAGGGAGCATCAGCCAGAGGCCAAAATGAGATAGCACGGCGAAGTATTGACCACCAACAGTAAGGAAGAGAGCGACCAAAGGAACAGTGATCGCAGCACGCAATGGATAGGCCAGGCGGACTCTCCAAGTGATCTCAGGATTCGCCGAAGTGAAGAAAGGCTGCCTAAACCAGTCGGCGACCTTCGTAGCAACCGAAGAATCTCCGTTAGAGCCCTTGACCCGGATGAGGAACTCGTGAACAAGCAGGGAGAACTTCACCATTTCGTTAATGGCGAATTCGGAATTCTTCGACTCTGTCGTGGCACGGACATCAGCTCGAGCTCGACACTTCTCCACAGATGAGCTCAGATGCCTTGCAGCTGTAATAATATCGTTATCAAACTCATGATGATCATCCCACACTCTGAGAGCAGTGACCACCTTCTGACGAAGTGATACCATTTCACCATCAAAAGGACCCGACCATGGAGTTTCCAAGGCCTCAGCCTCGAGCGTCTGACGTTGTGAAGATTTCCGTACAGTAGATAGGCATGCAAACATGGACCAGATGGTGCCACGTAGTTTCGGATCGCTCGTAGAAGCTGCCGCTTCAGTGCTAGCCTGACATACATCATCCCACATGCGCCGTACTACGGCTTCTTCTTGGTCTCTAACTCGCCATAAGAAGGTAATCGCATCGAAATAGTCCGCCAATACAACACTGAGGCGCCTCAGCGACTCCAATCGAGTATCGGGGAGCATTCTAAGAGACCACATTAAAAGAGTTCCCATCAAGGGAATCAATGAGCCGATGGTGTAGCCAGTAGCCGCGGTGAGCGCAGACCAATACGGATCCTCTCCACCAAAAACGATGGGGATGATGAGCAGGAGCAGAGCCTTGTCGCCTCGATAGAGACAGCTTAATTTGCAGTAAACTTCACCTGCTTGATCGGCCAAGGACAGAAGAAAAGAGGCTGGTACAGCCAGCATGATACCAAGATAGGGATTATAGTCTCCTTCATTTAAAGCAGACACCACATACACAATAAGACTGCCACAAGCACATCCCAGCCAGGACGCTACAGTCGTCTTCAATGACCATTCCAGTGATAGCCTTAGATCGAGATAGGACACTATGAGAGCACCAGCCAGGCCCAGAATCTGAAGTACATAATCACGGCACATGAATATCAATTGAGAAAAACTCACCATGAAATGTGGCGGGAAAACGGCCGAGATGGTCGAATTGAAGACCGTGATTGACGTCAAGCACACTGTAATGCCAGTAAAGGCAGCAGTCTGGACTTCCACAATGGATTGGGGTGTCAAACCCCAGCATGCGCCTTTCAAATATCCGTCATCACACGATATGCCGTTCAAAGGCTGTAGCAGAGGAATGTGCATACCGTTAGAAAAAGCTGAACAACACACATCCAGAAACCCCAATTCTTGATAGTCGCACGAGTCTAATCACCACAGATGAGCAGCTCGACGAAGCCCGCAGAACATATTCTAAATCGGTCTCCGACGACACCGACAGTTCTTCAAGACTCAACCTCACCTCGGGAACTATCCTAGTTGCTATACCGGCAAAACCATAGTTTCTCACATAAACACGCTTGCGGACTTTGACAACAACTAAGAGCACTCCATAGTGATTCGAACGCAACACGCCACAACTAAAAATAAGACATGTGTACAGCTTAGTGAAGATATTACGGCAACTCCGTCGCCTACAACCACCTCGCAAATGCTGAATTGATTAAAGTAAGTTATATCAGATGATTCACAGACCAGCTCAGAGTACTATCACTCTGCGTGTCTCATAGAACTCAACTGTTCCGAATGAGCTCGCAAGCGTCCTCTGACGGACTTGGTCGGTTCCGGACAGAACTTCATTTCCGTTTCTTGTTGATGATGAGGAGCCGCGCTGAGGCTACTACCCAAAAGTGAATTCACAATAGCCAACCATTCAGCTACAAAACAAGTAAGAGTGTACAAACATTCGTGGAGGCCGACGCCACCACCACTTGCGAGAGCTTCAACCAACTTGGTGGAATCCATAATGTTCCCATCAACAGCCCAAGTCTTGCTGAATAACAACTCCTTGTGTAGTTCCTCGAAGTGGCTGAATGTATCATCCATAGCATCCACGAGATCCATAGTAGTTTCCATCACTCGCAAGCCATCATCTTTCCCACGTAGTAGACGGTTGAGCTCAGCTGACGACTGTACTATCGCCATAGCAAGGCCATTCAAGGTGTCCCGAGCTGGTAAAAGTAGATGCTTTCTCGTAGTTGAACTCATAGCATACACACAACGATCCAAGCAGATACACACAGACATAGAGCACCGCGATAGCCTCGAGAACTGCCACTGTGTTGATATTATCCTGCTCGCGCTGATACGGCATCTTGATGCATTCACACCAACAAGATGCAACAGTTTGTCCTCTTCAAAGGCGCCGCTCGTGGCCGCCGCTCTCGCTATCTCCTTGTGCAGAATGAGGTTACCAGTAGTCACCACCGATGTTCGGTCCGGATCAGAACCTCTGGGCGATGCACAATCCTCAGCCGATTCCGTGAGAGCTATAATGGCATGTGCGACAACTCCAGCCAAAGAACGGATCTCATCAGCGCATCGACGAGACAGCTCACGACATATAAACACAGGAATAGTCAATATAGAGAAAATCAGCGTGGCTATGAGGCCAATAACCGTATAGAGCATTCTAATAGCGGCCATCGAGGTCCGCGACTCGGTAGTCATATCGGGATCGATTCCATTCACAACACCAACCACTATGAAAGTGATAAACATCTGCATACCAGCATACCCAATAGTAGATTCAACCACCAGGAATCTCGTAGCTGTAGCCACCAGGAATATCTCCACTATGAACGCAGCCTCATTGGTTGGATGAATCGATGTGGCGATTATAGCCAGAACGCCACCGACAACGACACCAACAAGTCGCCTTACTGCTGTGCTCAAAGTAGAGCCCACTGTAGAGAGAAAACAGCTTATGGCCGGCATTAGAACCCAGAACCCCTCCACGCTGAGATCAGAATAGTCCTCAGCAACCCCCAAGATACTCAATGTAAGTATGGTGAGTGATGCCGTCAACCTAGCAGGGAACCACAGCCGCTCAAACCATGTGGAGTCAGCCGGATAAAATGGCTCCTTTATCCACGCTGAGAGTCTCCACAGCACAGGGTGAATCGGGATCTAAAAAATCAATCAAAACTCCCCTCTGTTGAATATAATACTCACATAGTTCTCCAGCTCGAAATTACTCTTCGTCATCTCCATTTTGATGACAGAATAATCAGCCACAACTCTCGCCAGCCGCGTTATCGTGAGCATAACGTGCTCCATCCTGATCAGCTCTTGCACTGGGATCAGATCAGCATTTCCCTTGGCAACTTTGCGGCTATACTCTACTATAATACCGCGAATCTTGCGAATAACCTCGACCGACCACGTATGCAGTTTAGCTGGTTCCATAGGATTCTCCTCTCCTCGCAATATGGCGATCATAGTTGAGACCATGTGAAACAGCTCCTGCTCTAATACAGTCCACAAGTGCTTCACGGCGGCCGTGTTAAGCGGTGTAAACCTCGAAGATCGCCTTAGTGTGTATAGGAGACTCGCCATCCGAAACACAGCGAATTTCACGTCCGCGTTACTCGTAGATCGCAAGAAATTCCTCCTAGCCTCTGCGAGTATATCTCGTTTCCGCTCTAGTTCATCTTGATGCGACTCGCCCTCCAGAATGAACATGACACATGATTCAAGATACGATGCCGCAGCTCCTTCGAAAACAGGCATCGGCGGTGGGGAACTCCTCGGCAAGGCACCGAACGAATTCAATATGGTGGTCACTAATAAAGGGATCATTGTTGACCAAGCACACACGGCGAGCATCGCGAGCACTCGCATCTTCTCGTCGCCCTCTGCAAAGAAGAGCCCCAAATAGACCACCGTTAGTGTAGTCTTGTAGTCGTACACTTCCACCAGCTTGCACTTGTTACATTCAGCCGCCATTGAAGCGGCAAAGCAAAAAGGAATAGTAATGATGACACCAATGAACAAATTGAAATTTCCACCGCATATCACACTCGTAAGCGGCATCACAATGGAAATTATGAGAGCTCCTATGACACAAGCCACAAGAACCTCCCATGAGGCTGAGCAAGCTCCACGAAAACTCAAGGAGCTACACCGAACTGCCCATATCATACCAATCGCCTGAGTAAAATGAAACATTCTACCAGTTCACGTTTTCTCGAAGAGCATGCTAAAAATGGACAGAAACGCTGCAGAGTTCCAAGAGAGCATATTTCTATTTCCCCTCCTCACCATAATTGTCTCGTCGAAAGTTGCTTCAAATAAGGGTATGAAAATAGGCCCCGCCATTATCGCAGCCATGACCCCAGCATAGAGCGCGTTCAGTAAGCGAAAGCGGCTAAAGCGGGGGACATCAATGGACGACGCTGTAGGAGACATGAACCCTACAAGGAACTATGAACGTGAAGAAACATTCTACTATTGGCAGACCCGAGATCACTGGCATCTCACCCATGTTATAAAAAACAACAGTGGAAAATATATTTCGCGACTACTGCATACCGCGAATATCGCGCTTTTCACCGAGTATTACGCCGCCTCAGGTAGAGCGGGTGAAACTCCACTAAACATATACATGATACTCGACACCACGCCGACACCACCACTGGAGCACCTGCTAATGACGCAACAAGCTTTGTCTGATATGAGCAAACCCAGAAGGATCCTCTGGAAATGTGAACAGTAATGGGAACAGGAAACACAATGAATAATGAAAGGTCACAATCAAGACAGTATGTGGAGAAACTATACTAGACAGTATAGGACACTGATATCAATATGCACAGGTTTCAGCTCTTTTCCTGATTATTCCATCGAGCGATTCTGCACTGGTGTCGAGGCTTCCCCATGATATCACACTCTCCTCAACCGGCGCATGTGGTGGGCTCAACTGGCATCCCAGAAGCTCATTCACCACAGCCACCCAATCCTCGACGAACACGTTTATCGCATGGATAGCTTCATGTACGCCAACACCTCCACCACTGCTGATCACTTGGATCATGTGAGTTGAATCAGTAACCTCATCTTCGGCGGCCCAGGTCCGCTTGAATAACAACTTAGTCCTATTCTCGTCAAACTTAGCATACAAATAAAGCATCGCCTCTAAAGTGTCCTCAGCCGCTCGCATCGCTTGCTCTGTTTTAACATTACTACGTAGACAACGATCGAGCTCAATAGAAGATTTCACAAGCTGCATCGCAACATCGCGTAGTAGTGGACGAATCGGGTCCAGAAGGAGACGGTCAGTCGCCGCACTCATCCTCTCATTGCAACTCCAGAAAACTTGACTTACCACTACTGCACTCCTGCTCAGCCTGGTGACCTCGTCTTGAGCGAAACTCAAGCACTTGGGAGTCACAGCGCAACGTGTGGATCTTATGTGAACCACACGCATATAAGTAGCTTCCTCGCGCAACCAACGTTGTTCGGCAAGGCGACAGTTGTCCTCTTTCAATAGGATCGCCCCAACCTCGACCATAGTAGGAATCGGGTGGTGCTCCTCCTCCTCCGAATCTTTCGAACCGTCATGCTTCCCCGCAACCATACCCTCCACTAAGGAAGATACGATCGACGAAGCGCAAGACAGTTCTTTGGCGGTCTGCCGTGCTAGACGTTGACCACAAAAAGAAGGAAACGATATAAGGCAGAGTGATATAGCGATTGCCAGTCCAACCAGTGTGAAGAGCATTCGAATTAACGCGAGATGTAATCGTTCATGGTCATCCATCGTAGGGTCGAGAGCATTACAAACACCTACGACAGCGAAAGTGGCAGTGGTCTGAAATCCGAGATAACCAATTCTCGGGTCCATCGTATAGAACTTCCCCAATGCCGCCATTATGAAGAGCTCGACCATGACCGCAGGAGGGTCCATAGGATTAACGTAAACCGCAAGTATCGCCAACACACCTCCGAGTGTTACCCCAAGCATACGTCGGAGACCCTTTCCTAATGTCCAACCAACCGTGGGTAGGAAACAAGTAAGGACCGGAAGGGTCACCCATAAGCCCTCAGTGAGCAGAATAGGATACACTTCCCCGAGTGCTAAAGTTATCTCGGCAATGATCGTGGTGCAAATAGACAATCTCAAAGGGAAGCCAAACTTGTCCTTCAACGACGTTCCTGGCGGCCAGAAAGGTTGCTTGAGGAACTTGATAGGATGTCTCAGCGGCGGGGAAAGTGGTATCTAAAAACACGTGCTCTCACTTAGTTCATATACGGTACGGAGAAACAGTGTGAGAAAATATGCACATGGTCAACTACATGTATTGGTGACAAAACGAAGAAATTCTTATTAATTTCCTATACACTTCTACCCGAATATATGTGTAAACTTCTTTAGTTAGTGAGTAAACCGCTCAACTGATAACAGCGAACATATATTCCAACACTGCATAGGACAGTAGCACAATCGCGTTCCCCATTCCAGGACTCACATATCTCATCAGCGACGGCTTTGGTGAGCTTCGCTGCGCTTTGAGGTCGAAGTACTGGTCAACAAGGAGCGCAAATCTTGGTATAGCCAACATGGCAAACTCTACCCGAGCCATCTCTCTGGCAGAAATCACAACGGACTTCTGGTCAGCTACCGATCGACTATATTCAATGCTGATCTTTTTGATCCTTATCACAGCATTTCTAGCCGCTGATCTCAAATTCGGAATATCGTCCAATTCCACCTCGTGCTTTAGCAAGGCGGTCACGAACGTCATCAGTCTCCTCAACTCCATTTGCATCGGCCCCCACAAGTGTGTGACAGCGGCCTCGCTGAAGGGTTCCCACCGTGCAGCACGTCGCAAGCCATACAACGTACTGGTCATTCGGAAAATACACAACCGAAGGTCGCCATCAGTGACACTCGCCAGAACAGTTTTACGTGCATTTACAAGCGACCGCCGCTGCTCATCTAACTCACGTTTATGGAGATCACCATCCAATATGTAGCAGGCGTTCGATCTGAACAAGTTGCCAGCAGCGACCTCAAACGCACACATGGGCTCAGGCGCAATACGAGGGAGCAGACCCAACACATTGAGCACTCCTGTGATCGTAACTGGTACAACCAGAGACATGACCCCAGAGAATAGTGCCGAGTAGAGACACTTGCGGGCTACTGGACCCGAGAACGCCACCACAGATACCAACATCAGACTGCTGGAAATGTACGAGAACAGTTGGGACAGCTTGCACTTCGAGCTGGCCTCGGCCAGGTCGGATACGAAGAAGAAGGGGAAGGCAATAAGCACACCATAATAAGGGTTGTAGACTCCGCCACCCATAGCCGTTTCTAGGAGGACGATCAAGTAGCCCACTGAAGAACCAGCACAGACGGCTATGCACAGACGCCACGACATGTTCATGAACATGTTGGGATCCAACGATGCAGATATCATAGCATACATTATTCCGAGAACCTGACTCCATGAACCATGGCTAACGACGCGATCACTATCAGCTTACATAGATATGTTGCAAGAGATTCTCCTGTATGGTAGGCAAGAACTGTGGCACCGCGCAGATACACGCGATAAACCCAGAATAGAGTGATACTCGTACACGGTACCGGGGGTAGGTAGGAACACTGCAGCTAGCTGGCGCACTAGCGGTCCTCCTTGCCATACTTAAATCACAACCTGAGGCCTGACCAGTGAGTTCAACAACCAACCCCACATGTCAGTGTATTGGAAACGAATATTACTTCGACGGATACGAATCTGCAGTAACCAGAAACAAGCTTGAACAACATATAGAAAACGCTTTCATCCACACAATGGTATGTATCGAAGACGGTAACACATATACATCACTAACAACTCGCACATACTGTAGTGAACCCACCAGCACACATGTCCAACTAAGGCCTCTCTAAGAACAGCGAAATACTCGCTCGCTAAAGCAGTAGGGTTCAGGACGACAGGACAGAAGAAACAACTACACATTGTACAGGACGTGGTGAACTTGGTTCCATAAAGAACTTGTTGCTGATTCGAATAACCGATAAAAACGCAAATAACGTGACACCAACGACACCGGTATCCCTTCTTGGAGCATGTCATGACTTCTTAGCAACATCTCTGGTCCAGTCCTCCGGGGCACCAGTTAGGGCACGTGACCTCCTGCTAGCCGGCTTGAGGTTCAGTATCACACTCTCCATATGCACCCATTCATCAACGAATACACGCAGAGTATACAGCGAATGGAACAGACCATACAGGCCGCCTTGAATAGCACTAGCCCAGCTAGCAAGGTTCTTCGTCTCACCCGAGAGCATCACTTCCCTTCTCGCGACGAAGATATCCAGAGCCCTCTGCATCTCAACGTTAACCTGGCTGCCTTCAGTCGACATTTCTAACGAACCACTCCTAGTGCGACTCCTCTTAGACTGGTCCAGAATTTTCAGCGCCATCTTTGACGATGAATCGTTCAACGCTACCGCCACCTTGTGGAGACTCTCTCGTAGAGGGTCCAAGAGCAACGAGATCGTCGGGTCAGCGATCTGTCGCGTGCAATCAGCAATGTTAGTATGCGCCACCATCGCTGACCGGCCCATCATGTCAATGTCATACTGAGACCTTATCACAGCATGCGTGGTCTCATCGATGAAAGTAGTCCTATGGAGGACCAGCGCCTCAGCCTTAGCATCTGGCAAAAGCTGATATCTGCAGTCACTCGACTTAAAGAACTCATCACCGCTCTCAACACGTTTATCTTCAGGGTTAACTGATGGGCCCTTGGCAACAGCACACAGCTGCTCCACGGCCATAGACACCAACTGCGACTGAGCAATCAACTCGTGTGCGGTCTCGCGATTCAGTTTATCAAAAGCGAACGTAGGGAACACAAATGTGGCTACGACCATATTGCCCACAGTGCCAATCATAGTCATCAACAGGCGCCACAAAGCCCAGCTGATCATGTCGTTTTCAGTGGGCTCTGACCCCAAGGTGGGGATGATACCAACGAGCATCCACGTGAACGCAAACACAGTGCCAGCGTAGTCGATATTAGTGTACAGGGCACCGAGCTTGCCAATGGACACTATGACAAACATCTCCACAACGAAGGCAGGGACACTGTTGTAGTTTGCCTCAATGCAGATCATACCCAAACATGCCGCCAAAATAGTGCCGATGATACGCCTGGTTCCTTTGACCAGTGAAGCACCAGGTGTACTCAAGAAGCAGAATAACAAGGGTACCAGCGCCCAGAATCCGAACATCTCCACCACCGTTTCGTTATGGGCCCATGCAACAAGGGGGAAAGCGAATACGGTGATCGTGATAGACAGTCTCAATGGATGTACCAGCCTTTGCCTGAGGGTCATATTGCCAAATGCCCAGAAAGGTAAATGCCACCAATGGATCCAATACGCCTTGCATTCAGATAGATACCGACACAGACGACCCCACCAGTTGTACTGAAAATAACAAACAATCATTAAAACTACACCGGACCGGAAAATGAGTCACTTACCCATTTCAGTGAGTGCGCGGTTTGCTTCTGTTGACGGCGAACCAAATTGTAGAACTCATCGGACATCACTGCAAACTTGGCGATCAGCGACATGGCAAACTGGAATCTTACAATATCGTTCGCAGGAGACAACGAAGACTCTCCTTCAACGACCTTCTCACTATACGAAATAGACGCTTGACTCAGCCTACTACTGAGCTCAGTAGCGAGATTCATCAAATCGGTTTGTTCGATCTCCTTGTCATCCGAGATGGGCTTAGCCGTTGTCCTCAGCCAGTACACGACTTCTAGCCTCAGGTCCACTATATCCGGCATCAAAGGGTGCCATATGTGCTCGAGCATATCTTCACTGTAGCGACCATCATTCATAGTATCCCTCAAAGCGATCAAGCCCGAGGCCATACGGTATATCACACTCCTCAGCTCAGGAGTCGGCGCCTCTCTAGAAGCTGCTCTCCAAGACTCCTCAAAGGCCGCCCTCTGCCGATCGATGAAATCAGCGTGTTCCATGCCGCTGGTCCAATACGCCGTCAGAGTCTCGTAGTAGTCAGCAGCCCGCTTTGCAAAAACTGGCAAGGCCGGTAAGTCCTTTCGCGGGAGGAGATTAAACGCGTTGAGAATACTAGTGGCGATGAAGGACTCAGATGAGCCCACCATGAAAGCACCAGCAGTGAGCGCACCGTGAAGAAACGGCCTTCCATTAGGGAAAGCTAGGGGGATATACATGCTCTCCATAGCAACATCAGAACGGAACAGGAGCGACAATTTACTCCCAGTCGCCACATCACCCAGTGCCATTAAAAAGCACACCGGAAAGGCTACAGCAACACCAATCCAGTCGCTGTACTCCACGGTGTTTCCGGCTGTGATAATGATAGCGATAAGCTCTGTGAAGAAGAGCCCGATGAAGGCCCCTACGACCGACCTACAAGACTGATCGTAGTTATCATGAATGTTGAGGAAGGACGAAACCAATGCCCAAATAGGCGCCAGTACCTGACCCGCAATACTCCCAAAACAACAAGTGGGCCGCTACTCTTGTTACAGTCATATTTGCACCACGCCCCTCAGGCGCTATGAAGATAGTCCACGAACACAGGCATGCCATAACGCCCGTGTATAGGGCCGTAAGCAGCTTATATACCGGTATAGAAGGTAGTCGTTCGACCATAAATGAATTAACAGAAACAGGAATCTGAAATCGGCAAATCTCCACCAACTCCCAGGAATCATCTAAGCATCCTCGCCAGCAAGGACCGACTCAAAACGATTCGCCCATTCCAACTAACAGCGATCGGTAAGTGAAACGTATTAAAGCTGAGACAATCATAATGACAACACAGTTAATATTAATGGCCTCTGAATAGCAGATAAACATGCCCTTGACGTGGCCCCCAACCACAAAACCGTGTACTCTACACGGAAATCAACTGCCGCTCTCACTCTTCATTTTTTCCGTGAAATTTCTAACAGCACTGTGACCAGTGAGTGCCGTGAAATTAGCTTCAGGTATGTACGCGCCGCTGAGTGCACGAGCTCTCATCTGGACTACTGGTGCCAACCCCAATACTATAGTCTCTATATGGACCCAGTCATCACAAAACACTCGCATGGTGTAGATTGCGTGATAAAGAGAATAACAACCCGACTTCACTACTCGTGACCAGCCTTCAATATCGCGTTCCTCACCAGCCAGTATGTCTTCCCTACGTTTCACAAATATGTCGATTATTCGTTGCATCTCAACATTCACCTGGCTGCTCCTCAAACGACCACGAGTAGTCTCCTTACCCCCACCAGCCGCTGGTCGCCACGAGTCGTCCAGAATAGTCAATGCTACTTGCGATGCAGAGTCCCTCAGTGATGTTGCCAACTTATAGAGATCATCTCTCAAGGGCGCAAGAAGGTTAGATATTGAAGGCTCACCCAAACGACGAGCACAGTCCGCCAACGTTGTGTGTGCCACCAGAGCGCTTCTCCCCATACTGTCAATCTTCTCCTGCGCACTCAGCACAGCACGAGTAGTATCGTCCACGAACGCAGTCTTGTCCAAAACGATAGCCTCAGCCTTAGCATCAGGCAGGAGGGCAAAACGAGTATCACTCGATCTGAAGAACTCGTCTCCGCCCTCCACCGCCCGGTCCTCAGGATTCACCGAAGGCCCCTTCTCGAGACTACACAGCTGCTCTACAGCACGTGCCACCAGATCGGCTTGCTCAAGCAGTTCATGGGCCGACTCGCGATTCAGATTCTGCATGGCAAATGTTGGGAACACAAACATAGACACTATAGTGCCACCGATGGTACCAATCAAAGTCATGGCAACTCGCCAGAGCGACCACAAGATCATATCTTGCCGGCTCTCGTCCTTGCCTAATGTCGGAATTATTCCCACCAGCATCCACGTAAATGCAAATACCGTACCACCGTAGTCGATGCTCGCATAGAGGCTGCCAAGCTTACCAACAAACGTAATAACAAACATCTCAACCACGAACGCAGCGGGAGAATACGGGTGCACAGACACACATACAATGGCGAGCGCTGCCGCCAATATGGTTCCGACAATCCTTCTAGTGCCTTTAACAAGAGATGCTCCCGGCGTTTGGAGAAAGCAAAATAGTATTGGCACCAGCGCCCAGAAGCCGTATATCTCCACGATAGAATTCTGGTGTGCCCAGGCTACTAAGGGAAGTGCGAATGCTGTTATAGTAATAGAAAGCCTCAAGGGGTGGACGAATCTTTGAGCTAACGTCATGTTCCCATAGGCAAAGAATGGCAGGCGCCACCAGTTAACCCAATACTTCATGCAACCAGCCAAATACTGTCGAAGTCGTGACGGCCAGTGGAACTGAAATAAAGTAGAACAGTGCTTACTGGTGAACGGCACACTAGAAACATATGTTTTTGGTTTCCTCAGCTGAGCTCAGAAGTTCCTCACTACATTATGAAAACTTACACAGGATTAAGGATAGAACCATACAAAAACCAACAATATTTTTCACAGAATTTAATTTTGTCACAAACTCCCTAGTTGGATCTAACAAGCTACTCTCGCTCACAAACTCACCCATCCCTTAGCCTCAGGCAGCGACTTCTCATATTCTCGTACCAACGTGCGAAAGTTATCCGCTAACACCGCGAACCGAGCGATCAATGACATGGCGAATTGGAACCGCACACTGTCAGTAGCAGGCGAAAGTGAAGACTCGCCCGAGAACACCTTCATGCCATAGACCAGCGACTGCTCGTTAAGGCGCTCCTTCATTTGGTTCGCCAATCCAACAAGACCAGTTTCCAATACGATTTCATCATCAGAAATTTCAATCCCAGTTAATCGCAACCAGTAAACAGTCTCCAGTCTGAGCTCCACTATGTTCGGCACCAGCGGGTGCCAAATGTACTCCAAAATATCCGGACTATACGCGCCATCCCTCAGTGTAGTTCTAAGAGCAATCAACTCTGCAGCCATACGATATATCACACTCCTCAGCTCTGGTGTAGGGGCAGCTCTAGATGCTGCCCTCCATGCTTCCTCAAACACCGCCCTCTGACGATCAATAAACCCAGCATGTTGCATTCCGCTGGTGCAGTAAGTGGACAAGGTCTCGTAGTAATCAGCAGCCCTCTTAGCAAATGATGGTATCGGCGGCACCTCATGTCGCGGCAACAAGTTGAATGCATTGAGTACTGTAGTAACTATGAGTGTCTCCACAGAGCCTACGATGAAGGCTCCAGAGGTAAGTAAACTATGCAGGAAAGGCTTCCCATTAGGGAAGGCCAATGGGATGTACATAGACTCCATAGCAACATCAGAACGGAACACTTTCGAGAGTTTACACCCTGTAGCCGGATCAGCTATACCCAAGAGAAAGCACACAGGGAAGCACACAACGACGCCGATCCAGTCGTTGTATCCAGAGGACCATGCCGAGGATATAACGAGTGCTATAAGCTGCGTCAAGCCGAGACCGATGAGAGCCCCGACTATCGACCGCAATGATTGGTCGTAGTTGGTATTGAGATTAAGGAAGGCTGACACCAACGCCCATATAGGGGCCAGTACCTGAGCGGAGCGATGCTCATTCAAAAAGCCTAAATGCTTACTGTCATATTAGCGCCGTGTCCATGGGGCATAATGAAGACCGCCCAAGAACAGAGACAAGCCATTAATCCTGCATATGCAGCAGTAAGCAGTTTATACATATCCACTGATGGTAGCCTCTGAACCATTACAACACACACACAACTGACATGCACCTGCCACATGTAAACTCGGCCGAACACTGTAAAAGCAACACGTGAGTCTCTCCACAAAAACAGCTGCATCAACCAGCTCAGCTCCAACGAGGCAGATAACGTCAATGCGACAGGAAAATATTCAAATAAGCCGCCGCCTGTTCAAACAGGAGGGGACCGTTGAGGTCCGAATACGTTGAAATACTCAAATGCTACAATAACCACCCATGAGTGTTACATAGGAATGTTATAGTTTCTCAACCTCCCTCAGGAGCACCAGGCCTTCAGACTGGCACCTGGTTACCGCAACAGTGTGATCGTTGCCGCTTGACGTAGTGTCCATAATCGTTTGGTTTCTCTCCAACGGAGAATGGGGGAACCTTATATCGGAGCCTAGTAGGGTGTTCACGAATGCTATCCAATCCTTTACAAAATGCCCTAGTGTATAGACGGCCACATGCACGGCAACTCCTCCACCATCAGAAACAATCTCAGCTAGTTTTGTCGACGCCATAACTTCGCCCGAGGTAGCCCATGTACGTCTGAATAGCAATTTCGTCCGAATGCTCTCAAACGCTGCACTTAGCCGCAGATAAGCTTCTAGGACCTCCTGAGTGACTTCGATAGCTCTCGCAGTTGACACCCGCCGTGTAAGAACCGTCTTCAGCTCCTCAGCCGACCCCGCGAGAGCGATCTCAAAGTCCTCCATCTGGTTCGTTAGTGGTTTCAGTAGTAGCCTATGCGCTGCCGAACTCATTTTAACATCGCAATTGTGGAATTCCGTAAATACAACAGCAACACTATGCAACAAACTAGATATATCAGCTTGGGCCGCAATAAGCCTCTTTGGTTTAACCCCACAAGCAGTTGTAGTTACCCGTAGTACCCGCATAGCCCTAGCCTCAGCCTGCACCGACGGCACCTTTGCTATTCTGGCAGCATCCGCATCAAGTAGAGCCAATCCCTTCTCTACCCTATCAGGGAACGTAACCTCCGGTCTAGCTCGCAATGCTCTCACCACTGAAGTTACATAGTCGGTCATGCTCCCCACCTCTACTGAGGTAGCCCTAGCTAGCAAATGACCAGAATACGGTGGACGAGTAAGTACAGTCATGAACAAGAATACGACCAAGCCACCCGTGTTACACAGTAGACGCAGACCGGCCAGTTCAAAGCGCTTTGGCTCGGTCAACTCCGGATTAATTCCATCAGCAAAGCCAACTATGATGAACGTCACCCCTGTCTGCAATGCAGTGTAGTCTATGTTAGGAAAGTCAGTGAGCAACTTAGTAATGCTACCAACAATAAAGAGCTCCAGCAAAAAGGCCGGCCGGTTAAGAGCGTGAATCGCCAATGGAATGAGTGCGAGTACACCACCCAAGAAAATACCAAAAAGTCTTCGACCGCCTTTTAATAGCGTCAAGCCTAACGCATCAAAACTACACAAAATAGCAGGTACGATGATCCACCACCCCTCCGCCGCCAGAACCTCAAAACGTGTGGCTAAGGCGACCGCCAGCCAAACCACTGCTTGAAGGCATAAGGTCAGTCGTAGAGGATACCGAATGCGTTCCCACCGAGAGAGGCTAGCCGGGTACCACGGCTTCCTAGTCCAGGCGTTCAAGTCTCGAAAATAGGAGGGTACTGGTAACTGAGACGAAACACCCAGGTGGAAGGATATGCACATGAGGAATGGGCGGTGATGACAATGAGAATCTTTCACACTACCCGAACTCACAAGTAAATAACGTAGTAAGGAAACTCTCGAACTCAGCTGGGGGAACCAATACTCCAACATTGCGAGGAACAACATAATTCCTCTTCACCTCACAAGTAGTTACCTCCTATGCAAATTTCATACACTTATATTGCATAACGTAACGCCATCGCCGAATAATTCACGCAATGACAGAACTGGTACTTCAGCGCCATAATTCCACGTGGGAGGTCATAATGCCAAGTCATACTAAACACTACACTACCCCGCATTACCTGGCATATTATCGGACCCCGATGAGCTGAATCCCTAAACTGTCTCTTCCGAACATAATCCGCCACTATAATGCTACACCGTGGCACAGTGAGCAATCCCATCTCGATTCTGGCCAACTTTTCCCCCGAAAACACCGAGCACTTCGCATCAGCTGCTTGCCGGCTGTACTCTACCGTCACACTTTTGATACGCAGAGTCATTCGATGACCCAAAGCTCTCAAATCTTCTATCAGTTTTTCATCCGGAACCTCAGCCAATACGCACCCAATTCGAGAAACCAATTCCCACATATCCCTCCGCAAAGGCTCCCAAAAATGATGCCTGGCTTGCGAGCCGAACCCCTCAGCCGTTGTACATATATGAAAACCATATAGCAGACCCACTATATTGGCAACATCTAATTTCAGATCCTTCGGTACATCGCCTCTGATCACTGCACGATGCGCTTCAACCAAGTCCTTCCGCTTACGCTCGAATTCCTTCTTGTGGACTACCGCATCGGCCAAGTGGAAAACAGACAGCTCCAAGTAGTCTTTCAAGGCCACCTCAAAGCGAGGCAATGGCGCCGCGCTTTTCAACGGCAAAAGATTAAAGCAGTGGAGTACAGCAACGATGAGCATTGGAAGCATATCCGAGAAAAATCCCACAAGAATGATGAACAACCCTTTATTGTAGGGCTCGCCTTCTCCGAATGCCAAAATGCTATACATCCTCAAAAGAGCACTTGTATAGGAGTATATTTCAGATGCCTTACCCTGGCACCCCAGTGCCAAGATAAAACAGAATGGCAATCCGAATAGGCAAGCCCAAGCCGGGCTATAGACCCCATTGTTGAGAGGTGCGCTAGCATACACTAGGATTGCCCCGAGAGCCGCCCCGATGCATGCCCCTATGTAGGTCTTCCAGGCAAAGTCCACAGCGTAAGAGTAATCCAACGAAGTGTACGCCAAGGCCCATGCTGTTGAGAGTGCCTACAGATACACAATGCTATTGAAGAGTTAGCAGCCCCGACTTATCGTACTACACCCACCCAGAACACGTAAGCCGTACTTTGCTATCTTGAATTCACTATAGGTCGTAACGATGTTGTGATGGTTTAGACAAACATAGATTCCATCACCGAGAAAGCGCCCACCCATCTATTACGAATAACTGATTGCTGAAGCGATCGCCAAACCACGGCAAGAATTGGCCCGAGGCAACCGCACATGCCACTAGACTGCTGAAGATCGAATTGGCCAACTGGTAATTGGTGAAGGTGGGCAGACCATGAGTACTAGACAACGACATGCTGTTCACACAGAGACGGTATCAGCAAGCACAAAACTCAACAGTGGCAAATCTCAAGAGGAAAGCTCACAACGTAAATGTAGTTATTCGGCTTACAGTGTATGCTCGTCGTCATTACAGCAGTTCCAGTGACAAGGCTGATCCTACTCTGAGACGTAGCGGTGTTCAACCAGAAATATATAACACATAGTTCACGACTTCTTAACCCCATGAGTTCTAGCGCGGTCAACCATCTCCTTAGGGGCACCACTAAAGGCTCTCGTCCGTTTTGGACTGAGCTGTTTATACCCGAGTATAACCGTCTCGATTTTCACCCAATCGTCGGTAAACAATCTCAACGTATACAAACTGTGATAAAGAGTATATAAACCTGCCCGTATGGCTTTGGAAAAACCGTCAAGATTAGCGCTCTCTCCCGAGAGAACTCCTTGGCGAATTCTAACGAAGTGATCTACCAAATTCTGCATCTCGACATTCACCTGACTTCCCACCAGATCCCCGTCAACGATCATTTTCTTACTGCTATGATCGTCCAAGATTTGTAGCCCAACCTTCGACGCCGAATCCCGAATTGCCGCAGCCAACTTTGACAAATCTCCCCGTAACGGTTCCAGCATCAAGCTGATTGACGGTTCCGCAATAGAGCGCGTACAGTCAGCCAAAGTCGCATGGGCAACTAATGAGCTTCTGCCCA